CCCATTATTTACCTTTTCAACCCTGCCCTCTTCAATTCTTTTCAAATCAGATCCGAAATTTACACTTCGACCCCTGACTCCATAAAATCCTTTCAATATAAGTCCAATATCATTCTTTAACCCCCGAAACTACATTCCAATAATTATTATTAAATTTTAAGCTCTAATAATATAAAATAATCAAAATAATTACTTCCCGGGTTCCTGATTTATTATTTTATTACTCTATTTAAAACGGGATGTTACATTGTGAGCCTTTAAGTGTGTTTTTATGATTTTGAAGGAATGAGAAAGAAGAGAATGTCATATTGGAGAAATGGAACTCTTTGGATCCAGAATAGCAACATAATTTGAGACTATTTGATGGTAAAAAGCCATGAACTTGATGATGCATTGATTAGATCTTGAATATCCATGAAATTGTGTTCTTTTGGTCCTATAATCTTGGTATTATGAATGGATTACTCTAGTCCATATAAGTTGGCCTTTTAGACATTTTGGAGCATCTAGAAGCATAAAAATGTAATCTTGATTGTTAGTTTCCTTCCATGCATGAGTTACAAGGTCTTAATGGGTTAAGTAGTTAGGGTTTTCGTTGTTAAGCACTTATTAGCCATGCAAGACCATAAAATTGGAAACTTTATGGTTAAGGACGTTAGTTTAGGGTTGGATCTGTAATTTGAGCAAAAGAGGTTAAGGAATAAGCTTTTAATGGAAGGATCGAGTGAAGGTAGCATATGTTGGGCGTAACCCAGGTACGCTAGGCGTACTAAGTCAACATGCCCGTAATTAGGTCAACACTCGTGTACGCTGGGCGTACAAGCTGAGTACGTTGGGCGTACTCAACTGTGTTAACCAAGTTTGACTTTTAACTTTTGAGTTTTCCGACTTTGACTAGGATTTGACCAATTTTGACCTAAGGGTATATTGGGGATTTTGAGTTGTGTTTGAGATTGATCACTATTTGATGTATAGGTGAAGGGTAGAGCTGATATTCGGAGCAGAGACCTATTCAACTATTTGTTAGGACTGAGATGTGAGTTTTTCTCACCGTACTTATGGGTCGAAGGCACCACGACCGACCCGTTGGATTAGATATCTTGTTTTGTCGAGTGCTATTATGCTGAGATATGTGTTCACTGGTTATGAGATTAGACTGGTAGATATGTAGGAATACCTGTGTTTGTTGATTATTGTTTGTCATTATATATGTCGACATGTTATGGTTTGATGGGTTGAGGCGGGCCAACTAGTGCTGAAGGCCAAGACACCCAAGGCGGCCCAGATAGACTGAAGGCCTGCGAGGCGGTCCAGTCAGACCGAAGGCCCGAAAAGTGGTCCAGATAGGTTGTAGGCCCTGTGAGGCGGTCCGGTCAGGCTGAAGGCTCATATTTGCATGTTGTTGTTTGTTATGCTGTTTAGTGGTACTTTGGGGAAACTCACTAAGCTTTGTCTTACGATTTCAGTTTATTGTTTCAGGTACTTCAGAGGATCATGTGAAAGCGAATGCGTGATCATGCACATCTTCCTGTTTTTATGATATTGGATCTTAGGATATTCTGATTATGATTATACTTTTGAATCAATGGTTTTGTAAACACTATATGGTTAATGTGTTGTTTTTTAAAAATTTAAATTTCTATGTTTTTTGGGACGTAAACGAACTAAGCCGAAAAAAATTTAAACGAACCGAGCTCCTGGTCAAGCTTGGGCTCGGCTCGACTTGTTTGCACCCCTAGATATAATAATTTTAATATGGTGTTGGTATGTGATGTGATATTAGTTTTACAATGGTGAAAAGGTGGGTATGCTTATAACATAAATGCTAGTACTCTTAGACCAGAAGGTGTGATGCCATCCTTATCATATCCCACCTCATTTTTCCAACAAGATTACCATGGACCATGTATGTTATACCATCTTTGCCACATCCCATATGTGTGAGAGAGAGAGAGAGAGTAATGGGGAGCCGATTTCTCAAGCCATACGACGGAAACCACACACTAAACATGGTGTTACCATGACACAAATATGTCACATAACTTCCAGCTCATCTTCACTCCACCCGTCCATACAAGATAGGGAGTGCTTTTTAATAACTTATGGGGTGTTTCGCAAACACCTTGTACTTTTCAATGAACTTTTTGAGAAAAAAAAATAGAAATTTCTGGTGGTTAAGTTAAACCTGAAAAGCCACGTAATGAAAAGCACTCCAAACACATGTTTTACTTCAGTAAAAGAAAAGCGTTTCAAACCCTTTGTCGATCATCTGGAAGAGGAACTAACACTCGCCGCTTCTGTCTCCTGATTGCTTCATCATATAATCTTATTTGATTTTATACGTTGCTTTCAGAATCCTTCTTCAAACACTCTCCACCGGTAAGCTCTCTCTTTGTGCTAATCGATTTGATTTGAATCATAATTTGTCGAGTTATGTGCTCATAGTTGTTTTTGATGCGCTTTTTATACGGATTCAATCGGTACGAAGATTGAACTGCTTATTTAAATTAACAACTTCATAAAATCTCACCGCTCTGATGTGATGGAACTCGATATTGAATTTATAAAGACTTGTAAATATGCTGAAACCCTAATTTAAACGTGAGGTGATAACTCTTTTGATATACACATAATGGGGGAACTCGATATTGAATTCATGAACGCGTGTTTCCTTATTTTCCATAAGTGTGATTCGCTCTTCATTCTCCCTCCATCACAGAAACGACGACCTTCCCTCCTCCAAATCACCATATTGTCGGCGCCTCCTGACCTCCGGCCTATATGTTCACAGTTGTTTTTGATGCGCATTCTATACGGATTCAGTCACCACGAAGATTGAATTGCTTATTTAAATTCTCAATTTAATAAAATCTCACAGCTTTTATATGATGGAACTCGATATTGAATTTATAAAGACTTGTAAATATACTGAAACCCTAATTTACACTTGAAGTGTTAATTCTTTTGATTATACATATTGAGATGAGAATGTATATAGACAAAGAAGGAAAAATATAACGATATTTACTTGATCACTTCTACCATCGACTCGAGGGGCTAATTTATGGGTTATAATTGAATTAAAAACTTTCAGCCTCATAGAGTAATTCAAGGGACATAAGTTTATAAAGAGTGTGACTTACTGGTGATAAATTGGTACCAACAAATTCATTACTTAATTTGCATTTATCAAGATTGATTCTGTGGCATGTGTAAACTACTTGCTTTCAATGCACATTTTTTTGGTAGTAAGTCAAATTCTGCCTGATATAAGGATACATGTGAGTAATTAAGAACTTTGCTTACTTGTAGTTATCACTATTATAATGTAGAAAGAAAAAGGAAGTAAAGTAAGATACTTTGAGTTCATGGTTCAGTGATTCTATTTTCTAGTTGATTCAGTTTGTTCAGTTATTTAGTCTTTGAGATGAACCCTGTATGGCATATTTTGATAACGGTTTTTTATCAGAAATTTAATATTATACTGGATGGGAAAATGGACCTGAAGTAGGAAGATAAAGCATTTCTTTGGTGTTATGTCATCAAACCCTTTTGGCAAGCTTGCAGATTCTCCTCTCATTATCATTTGGCAAGGGTTTGGATGACAGTGTTATTTTGATTCAGTCCACAATAAAGTCAAGGTATATCTTTTAAAAATATTTCTTGTTGGTTTCAGTTTCATAATCTAATCTGCATATAAGGGACCTATATTTGTATCTTCTCAAGTCTAATTTCCATAGTGAAAGCTTATTCTGTATCATATTTGGTTTTTTATTTAACCAGGAAATGCCTCGCAAAGTATCATATGGAGTTGATTTTGATGAAGAGTATGATGCTTATGATGATTATCGTGATGATTATGATTATAATCATGGCAATTGCATAGATGAACATGAAACTGGTAATTAAACTGACTTGTAATCTTCTCTTGAGCTTATTAATAGCTATGTGATTGTACTTTACTTTTCACCCCCTTATATGTAATGTGGTTAAGTAACCCTTGTTTAATCATACTTGGGAATATTGTGACAAGTAGTGATATAGTGACTATGAGTGCTTTGACCTTATCATATGTACAAGTTCCTTTGTTTTGTTTTGTTGGAATCAATCTAACTAAACTAATTGTATCTTTTGACTTGGATTCCTATTTACAGCTTGGGAAGCTCCTGTTACAAAAGAAGAAATCGTGCAGAAAAATGTTTGGAGTTGTCCCATTTGTACATATGATAATGAGGAATATATGTCTTCATGTGATATATGTGGTGTTCTTCGCAACCCTTTAATCAAAAGCTCAAACAATGGCCAATCAAGTACAGGTACTCATATGTTCATGTTCTATTACATTACACCCTCATAAATGAAAATATATCAATTTGGTCCCTTCACTCTCCATGGATTGTTGACTTACTAACATTTACTGAACTGGGTATTGTACTTTTGACATTTTATTCGATATACATCACAAAGTTCAAAACTTTACTCGATATAATTCCAAAACTTCATAGCTTTGCTTTATTCAATATACATCACAATGAACAAAGGTTTATAAAATACAGCTTGTGCTGAATAATAACTTGAAAATTAGGGAGCTTACATACCTTTGAGAGTTAGGACCTTTTTTTTTTTTTTTTTCTAATATAGGAATCCTCTCCTTTCTCCTAGTGTCTTCATAGATTAGATTTTTTAATGCAGTTGATGGCATATGCACAAACTTTGGAGCATCGATGATGGCAAAGTCTCTTTTTACATCCTTGCCATATGAGTCACCAAGAGGGGGTGTAACTGTAAACTTTCAACCACAGAAAGATGCTTCTTCAAGAAAAGAGGACACGTTCTCTCACGTGCATGGAAAATTCCATGATTTACATAATGCCATTATCTCTGAAAAATCTTACAAGGTTAACATAGGTTTGCACATGCTCTTGACATAGATGCCCACAATATATCAAATAAATAACTTTAGTAACTACCCTTTAGTCCTTGACCTTGCCTGTTTTGACTATTTCAGCCCCTTTCAAGTTTGATACCCCATCTCCAGATGATGTTGTTTCTTTGGGGTTGAAGTCTTACAAAATAGGTTCCAAAGGTACTTTTTTTGTCACCATATGGAGTTCAAGGAACTTTATACTTCTAGTCTCCCGTATAGGTTCTCACTCAGAAAGTCTTTAATGCACCCTCTTAAGTCACGTATTTTTAGATAGGGGTAGTTTTGGAAATCATCAAATAAAGAGTATCTTATTAGGGCAGGGGCATTTTAGTCATTTTATATTAGTACTTTTGTTATGAAAGATAGTTTGGCTGATTCTCTTTCCCACTACCCTCTTATACCATCTGTCATAACAAACTAACTAATATAAAATGCCTAAAGTGCCCCTAATGCCTCTGATTCTCTTTACTTGATGATTTCCCAAACTACCCCTATCTAAAAATATGTGACTGAAGAGGGTGCATAAGTTAAACATTTCAAGATTTGTGATATGTGATTACCCAAGATATGTCATTAGGACACTTTTCTAGTCTCCCTTCTTTCTTCCTTTTTTTGGCAAGAGCAAAGATAGAGAATAATTGGATTGATTCTGGAAGAAGTTGTTCTTTCCCACTAAAGATATTATTACATAAACACGTGATTTATATTAACATGTAGATGTATAATGTATAAGTAGTTATATCATAACTTCATAAGTAATATCTCTAAACTTTTGTTGCTTTTATGTATATAATTTCTGTTATACATAAAAAAATATTCATTACTTTCTCGTTGAAATCTGACATGTTTATTCTTTTTCAAATTAAATAGTTGTACCCAACTTAGAGAAACCATCCACTTCTGATGCTCCTTCCAACAAGAAGATGGAAAATACCAACTTGAAGTCAAATGCTAAATCTTCCAACAAATCACCACCATTGATTTCAAAAGATAAACCACAACACATGGAGAATAACAACATTCCACAAACACATAACATTTCTACCGAATTGAACAACATGACCATGAGTGGCGAATCTGGAACTTCCAAAATTGCAAACAAGGGTAAAACGGGTAAAACTGCATCTCGCTCACAGTATAAACCTGAGAAGTGGATGCTACTTGATGAAGGAGAAGATCGTCTGAGTCAGCTAAATCTTGCTATTGTAAGTGTTAACACATTATTTAAAAAAAAAAAAAATAATTTGTCATTGTGAATTGTGATGCTAAGGTGCTAACAACTTTGTATTTGACATTTGTAGGTTGGGCATGTGGATTCTGGAAAGTCAACACTTTCAGGAAGGCTGCTACACCTTTT